TGTTGGGATTATCTGGTGTGAGTTTGTATCTGTTGAGCAGCAGCTTTTTGGATTATCAGCCCACCAGTACCCAATGTGGTATAGGACATGCATATGGTGCCTATGTTTTCTGGGGGGCCTGCACAAGGCAATGTCAGCACCAAAACGAAAGAAGGAGCCATTTGAGGTGCCTGCCTCCCAAGTTTTGATCAAAAAGAAAAAAGAAGATATCTTTGGAACATCTCTCATGAGATTACAAAACACAAACACACTAAATTCAAAAGAATCTCGAAAATTGATGGAGCAAGCAACAGAGGCAGGCCTGGACTTCAAGCGTCCATTCCAACACAGTGCCACTCAAGATGAGCCTGAGGAAGGCAAAGCTTATTCCAACGCAGCCAGGTCATTCAGAAGGTGGCAGAGGCAAGGCCAAGTTTGGGGTGAATTGTATTGGGCAACCATTCCTGTTTGGAATAGGAAGAAAAAGGAAACAGAAACTGCATTAATTCCATTTTTGCTGCCACACCAGGTCATGAGCCAGTATTTGGCACTAGAAGGCACTTGGAATGAAGGCATGCCTGCACCAGGTACTTTTTTGTATGCAGAATTGTCGAAGGTGTGTGCAGCCTGGAAGGAGCCTGTGCAAGGCATGTTCCCTTTGGCCATCCATGGGGATGGAGTGCCTGTGCAAGGCAGGATGAACCAATCCACATTAGATTTTCTAACTTTCAATCTGCCTGGAAGCCTGAAGAAGGCAAGTGTCAGGATCCCAATATGCTGCCTTGATGCCCAATACAATTGTGGTGCAGAGACCATTGAAGCCATCTGGTCCATCATTGCATGGTCCCTAGAGAGCCTGGGGAAAGGCAAACACCCCTGCACCAGGCATGATGGCTCCCCCTTTTCTCCCAAGGAGAAAACTAGCCTGGATAAGGCAGGTCAAAACATGCCAGGTAAATGTGCCCTAGTGCACATCAGAGGTGACTGGGATTTCTTTTGCAAATGGCTGGGGGTGCCTCAGTTCAATGTGTTGGAAGGCATGTGCTGGAGGTGCTCCTGTCGACCTAACCAGTGGAAGGAATGGGGCAGGGGAGACAGGATGGAAAAGAGCCTGAGCAAGGCGCAATTTTTGGAATCAGTGCGATCCAGGGGCAAGGTGCAAGCTGCAATCTTCAGGCTGCCTGGCTTTACCAACCACAATGTTCATCCTGATTGGATGCGCACTGTGGATGAGGGCTTTGGCGCACTCATCTGTGGCCAGGTCCTCTCCCACCTTCTGCCAGAGTATGGCAAAAACAAAGATGAGCAAATTAAGAACTTATGGAAGGACATCCAGGAACTCTATACAAAATTCCAAGTTCCTTGGGATAAGCGCTTAGCCAAGCTAACTCTTTTGGACATCAAAAAGCCAAAAAGAGTGGCTGAGCTGGATGCCAAAGCCAATGATATCAGACACTTTGCCTTGTGGCTGGAGAGCCTGTGCAAGGCAAAGAGCCTGCACAAAGGCAACATGTTGCAAAAGGCGGTGTACAATGTTGCCAGATTTTGTACAGAAATGTACAAAGCATTGGAAAACTTTGACCCACCAGGCCTGGTTGCCAATGGTGAGAAATTATTGAGCCAGTACATGGCACTGGAAGCTTGCTTTGCTGCAGCAGATGATGACCAAAGCTGGCATTCCAAACCAAAGCGCCACCTTCTGCAGCACATTTTAGACGATGTGCACACCAAAGGATTGTGTCCAAAGGACACCTGGACCTATAGAGATGAGACCTTTGGGTCCACCCTCCAAGGATTCTATACCAGGAGAGGTGGTCACAGAAATGTAGGACTGGAATCTGAAAGAGTCCTGCTAGCTTTCATGAGCGCACAGCCATGGCTTGGCGCTCACACAGCCTGAGCAAGGCAGCCATTTAGCCTGTGCAAGGCAGGCAGGCACCTCAAAGGCAGCCTGTGTAAGGCAGCTTTTCACCTAAGTTTCACACCTTCACACACCATGCCATGGTGAAAAACAGCTGGGCTTTGAACTTCAAGAAGCTCTTCTTGGAGCTCCAAGAAGCGCTTCTTTGATTTCCAAGAAGTGCTTCTTGGAGTTCCTGGAAGCTAGTTTTTTGCAAGATCCAAGAAGCCATGTTTTAGAGGCTTCCAGGTGTGCTTCCCAAAACTAGCTTCCCAAAACAAGCTTCCAGGATCTTGAGGGAAGTCCGTGTGATTCCCAGCGTTTCCTACCTCCAGGAAGTCAGTGGCCTCATCCTCCGCCAGGGGACCTTCAAATGCCCATAGAGGACCAGTGTCACTGAGCCTTCCTTCATAGTCGAAGCCCACAATGGGGGAGTCTGGAGTGGCGATGGTGATCTTGGAGAGGAACTTCCGAGGTGCACCCCACACTTCGGTCATAAAGTTGCTCTCGTAGGCCTGAGGTGGAAGGGTCTTGGCCGTGCAAGGCGAGTCGATAACCAGGTTGCCTGTAAGGGCCTCCGTGATGCGACACCAGACGACTTCCCAATGGGACTCAAGCTCTTCCAAGGTGAGTCCATTCCATAGTTGGCGGGCTTGAAGGAAATACGGCAGCCAAGTTGGCCTTCCTCGAGAAGTCCTTTCTGAGGCCGTGTCACGTCCACCGAGGGCCTGCTCAGGGCCGTGTTCTGGTAGTCGATGTTGTTCGCCAAGGGCCTGCTCAGGGCCAAGGTCTCCAGGTGCAGGTAGTTCTCCAAGGGCCTGCTCAGGGCCGGGAGCCTCCTCTCCAAGAAGGTCATAGTGCATGATCAGCGAGTTCTCATCGAGGCCGTGTTCTCGGAGATGACGCTGGAGTGCTGGTGACGCCTGTGGCCACGTCAGTGCTGAGGCCGTCGTGCAGACGCTGGATAGGACCATCCAGCTCGGCCACCTCACTCTCGAGTGGGTGACCCTTGGTTTGGATTGAATCCAAATTCGTGGCAGGGAGTGGTTTCATGAGGTGGGTGGTTTGCCTTTTTGGGCAGGCTGTGATTGGCTGACCCACTGACTATGTTGGCTGCTGTCATTCAACCTGTGAATGATAGTTGAGCAGTGACAGCCCCATCATTGGAATTGTGAGTGCGTGCGTGCGCGCGTGCGTGCGTGCGTGCGTGCGTGCGTGCGTGCGCGCGTGCGTGCGTGCGTGCGTGCGTGCGCGCGTGCGTGTGTGTGTGTGTGTGTGTGAGTTTTTGCACTTAACTTTTTCTTTATGATTCAATTCCTTGCGCGCGCTAGGTCCACACACATTCGACACCGGGGTCTGATGCAACTGTTTGTAATGAACTCTAATAAAGGCAACTCTCGTGAAAACGAAGAAAACCCGCAAACCTAATACGTAGTGGAACTTTTGAGGCAAAACAATAGCCTACAACAATTTTGCAATGAACTTGCCAGGAAGAAAACGCCCACCAGAGAAGGCCCACACGGACCATGTGCGACAATCTCCTAGTTCGCAGAAGTTAGAACCTTCGCTGTAAAGGGAGCTGTTCGATTTCTCTGGGGAAGGCCCATCAACTTAGATTTTTCCGTTCAGAAAGCAACGAACCTTCGACAGGCAACAGGTAAAGAACGCTTATGCTCACTGTATCATGTCTTAAGTCGACTGCCGCCGTCCATTGGGCAGCAATTTGAATTTGGCTGTCAGCTCCCTGGACCACACACCCTGCTGTCACGGTCGCATTTACAGGCTAGCGTGGCCAAGAACGTTTTGAAGCGATTTGCCAGTCACACTCAGTGTATGTCATAATGGTTTGTTTGTCATGTTCTGTGCAACAAACGAAAACAAACGACCAGCAAACTGCATCAGATGCAAGGTGCAAACGAATCTTTGTCATGTTGTTGGAAGGCTTTGAGTGTACCACTTGCTGTGCTGGCTAGTGCGTAATGAGTCGGAGATGTCTTTTTGCGTCAAAGACAAACTTTGTGAGTTGCAGCTGCTGCAACAAAGCTAGAAGTTTGGCTCTGAATTTTGAGGGTTGGTTCCATGCCGATGAAACGGCCTGCTGCGACAAAACGCCCCGCTGCCGTGACATGTAAGCGGCCGGCCACAGCCAATTCGAGGAGCGAATCTGGGTTAACCTGTTCACAAGGGAGTGAGTTGGTTTTAAGAGGTGGTCACTCTGTAAGCAGAGGTTTGCAGGGAGCGAGTTGTCTACAATGCCGCATGCATTCAAAGCAGAACGTTGGCTCAAAACAACAAAAAATTGTTGTAATATCCACTGATACTTTTCATTTCCTTCCGTGTTTCCCCATCTAGACAGAGCAAAAACATTTGGTTGGAATATATATATATATACACACACATACATTTAAGGTATTACATATATATATATATTAATATATATTTATGTATTTTCAATTTCAGACTCATTGATTTTGTTTGCAAGAGAGCCACCAGGCTAAGTTACATAGAAATTGTTTGGCCTTTCCTTTCATTCGCTTCAGCTCCAGCGCTTCATGCTGCATGCTTCAGATGATGAAGTTGAAGGTGGCGCCGATCGCACCAAGGCGATGGTCCCGACTCGTACGCCCCAAGGTGTGGGATTGGGCTTCCTTGCAACAATGTGCACCTGCCAAAGGCAAACCTGTTTGCAACAGTTCCGCGATTGCTCCGAAGCTGTGTCAGCTAAGCACCAAGAGTTCCAGGCGCTGGAGCCTCATCAAAAGGCAAGGGTCATGCCCCAAATGTTTTAGTAGTATGCAACTCAGTCTAGGTTGACAAGAGTGTGGCAATAGTCCTGCTTTTTTGTTCAACCTTAGTTCAACCCTTGTTTCAGGATGAGTTTTTGCGGAGGAACTTGCTAAGTTCCAGCCCTGCCGCCCAGCAGCAATTCAACACTGAAGACCCTCGAGCCAGCGAACCAGATTTCGAAGAAACTGACTCAGAACTCGATGCGTCGGATGGAGAAGAATGGATGGTGGCTTCTGACGACGATGACATGCTTGTTGCGTCAGATTCGGACCGTGCCCAATGCCAATTGGGCAGGGCTCGGCGTGCCTATGCCTCACGTCGTCCAGATGGTTTCATGTTCTTGGGGAAGCCTGTTTGCCTCAAAGCATACTGCAGACTTTTGTCGGTGGGCCAGAAAGTGCTGCAGAGATTGCGTTCAGGGCAGCTCGGATACACTTCGAATCGGGCGCAGGCCCCGAAGCACCCAACGTTCGGGTTCAGTTTGAGAGGTGACGCAGCGGAGAAGTGGCCATCAGTGCTGATGTTCCTGTGGATCATTTACCACTCTTCCGCAGAGTTCATGCCTGAGGGTGGGCATAGCCTGCGCAAACCTACCGTTGAACAATTTGACGGATCTGAAGCACCTTTCAAACTGGCAGAAGACAGGGACAAGGAGAGCGTGGATCGGCGAGTGAATGAATTCATGAATGGCTTGCATCAATATCGCTCTGACATAGACCTGCATCTTGTAGGGCCTGGGTCCTTTAAGGGCGAGCGACGAGAGCTCCAGTAGCGCAGCGTACTACATCCAAGCATTTGTATTGTTTTTCCTTCATGGAAATGTTTGGTATGAAACCACTGGACCCTCTTTCATTGCTGCCCAAAGCCATGTATTTTTCTTGAGGCACTCTTCGCGGACAGAACTATTTTTCGAGTACGTCGCCCATTGCCATGCGAACTCGCAGGCGCCCGCATCCTTCAGCACATTTTTACGTGTGGTGAACAAGGTGATGGGGCCATACTTGAGGGACGGTTTTCTGCACTTCAGGAAAGCGAGTCAGCACGCAAAGTGTGATTTGTGCATTGAGCTGAAGAGCAGATTGAGGCTGATCAATGGTGGGGCCACTGGGCAGGAGAGTGCGATCAAAGCGTACTCATCGCGCGTTTTAGCCCAGTGGCTGGATCGACAGACATATTGGGCATTCAGGTCCCTATCACAAGCGTGGTTCCGAAGAACCCTTTCAGGCGGCGCCAGCGACCGGATTCTCGATTTCATTATTTTTGTCAGACTGTAAAGTGCAGTTCTTTTGGTTCAAAGAAACTGTTTGTATCTTGAAACCGGGCGGTTCTCAGGATCCTACCTGAATTTTAGCCATTACAGGTTTCAAATCAATTGTTTGTGTCTTGAAACCTGGTGACTCTCAGGATCCTACGTGAAGCAGTAGCCACAAGCTGTATTTGCGGCATCCATGACGGCATGGACCAGGCCAAGTTCAAAGTTCCAAGAATCAGACAGCTCGCCGCCAACTCCAAACAATACGCTTCACTGTTTAGACCACGTTTGCACGTGGCTGGCCTTTGGATCCACGGCCGCAGAATCCAATTTGCGATCAGCGATGAAAACTTGGCCAAAGATTCGGCTTGTCAAATGGAACAGCTGGCCAGAGGCTTGGACGCTATTTACAGGGAGCATGGCTTGCCACCTGGATTGGCAATCCAGCAAGACAATACATATCGAGAAGGGAAGAACCGGCACTACATTGCCTTCCACATCCTCCTGGTTGCACTGAACACCTTCCGGTGGACTGTTTGCAACTACCTGCGGGTAGGGCACAGATGCCTGTCCTGAGCCTATGCAATGCCTTTTTGTGGGCGTTGAATGTTGTTGTTGTTGTTTGTCGCCTGCCTGCCCTTCTATAATATATAGTTGGGTCCCAGCCTTGGGTATCAGGTCACGAAGACATCGACCAAGTCTTCAGTGTTCAGGCGCAGCTCATATCCCGGAATGAGTTCAACAATCCAGAAGAACTCATTGAACTCATGGATTCTTCTGGTCGTCCTCGAGGTGAAGGCGAGTCTGCGCGCAAGGCGCAGAAGGGAAACTTTGCGAAGGTAGAATGCGTGGCGTACAAGTTGGACGAGGTGGCCAACTGGAAGGACTGGGCTGCAATGGCTGGAGTTCGAGTCAAAGGGTTGCGCGCCCCAGCAGCGTCACAGGATAAGTTAACTGATGTTTACACGCTTGTTGCGGGGGTTTGAGAACGATCGCGTTGGGCCATTATTTGATTGAGCATAATCGCTTTGATTTGGTTTGACTGAGGCGGTGTTGGGCAGGTGCGCATCAGCCTCCGGAAGGATATAGACCCCTCATCTTATGGGCATTGTGAAGTGCAGGAAATTGCTGGAGCCGAGCGGTCGGAGAATGACATCATTTTAATTGCAAAAAGGTTCATGGCAAGTCCAGAACCCTTCAAAGTTGTGACCGTGATGACAGCAGCAAGAGCAGCTACTGTGCACCGGAGCTTTGCGCAACCTCAGGGCGTTGCCCCAAGACGAGCCATCAAGGAGAAAGTTGCAAAAAATATCCGCAGCAAGGTTCCGACTTTGGTGAGGAACCTCACTCTGCCACCAGATGCTGGAGCTTACCTGTTGAATTGGGCTGAGTCATCGTTACAGCTGCTTCCACGGCCACAGCGCTATTCATTTTTGGAGCACCGGCATGATGGTTGTGTGCGAGAGGGCCCAGGTCCAAGAGAGGCATGGGGGCCTCGGCCCAGAGAGAAGGTGGTTGATTTAAAGCTCCCAGAAAACGATTCAGACGATGCTTCCGACAATGATTTAGAGCCAATTGACTTTGAAGATGGTGAGGGAGATCATGACTAGTGCTTTTTTGTTTAGTATGCATTGGAAGCTAAGGGCGAAGCCCTACTGCTAAGAGCCATGTGAGCGGCGATCTAAACCTCTTACATGTGGTATAGGGTTTCAAAAGGCGTGGTAATCGTTGTTGGCCCCCGGAGACCAACATTATGTGATTTCAAAGCGTTCTATGGCTCTTTTTCCTTCGATACCGAGGCCCGTGTGTGGAACGCATGTCGACCTCTAGCCTTGTGGGCCTACACGTGTTCAGTTATGGGTCAGAACTTCAGAACGGTAACCGTTTTGTGTATTGTGTGCGAAACTGCAAGTTCCGCTGAGACCCTGCCGTTTTCAGGCAACAACAAGAAGAAAACAACATCGCGCAACATCTACAAGGGAGTGCAAAGGATATTATAATAGCTTCTCAAAGCATATATAAGGCTACAATTTTAGATATATTTAAGATTGCCAACAACAATGTCAAGATGTATCAGAACTATAGTAGTTAACCAAAACCAGGTACCATTTCTTGTTCCCAACCCCGTCCGACGCCGTCGTTCGAGGTTACTACCAAAGGCCATTTCTCCTTACGATCCCAGTTTGCAGGACGCAGCAGGAAGGTGATGAACCTGATCCTGTTCCTGCAGCACCTCAATTGGACGCTGACATGCTGTTTGAGAGTGATGATGAACAGGGTGGAAGGACACGACAAACCTCGGTATATTCGGAATCTTTGGAGTCTTTTCCTGCACCCCTTAAGGTATATCCTTTTGGTTCTGTACCCTGCGCCAGGAAGTGTCTTCCACCTCCTCCTGGTGATGGATCAGATTTTTTTGCCTCCGACAGTGAACATTCTCAGCCAGAGGTGCAGCCTCAGGCTGACACTAGCTTCATTGCCCGAAATGGAATTGGGGTACGGCCCTCACTTACCTTTTTTTCTGCAGTGTTGCGTTTAAGAAGAGACTCCACGTGAAGCTACGTTGTCAAGAAACATTGAAATAAGTATCGCAAAGCCTACTTCTTGCGTGCGGTGTTTCCTCAAGGTCGACACTTGGGCTGATTGGGCTTTTTCTGCCCATGCTGACTCCAAGCTTGTGGAGAGTTTCATGGCTTCTCTTCGCAACTGTTCCCGCAAGGAGGAATTCAGCAGAACCATTCGAATTGGATCCATTTGCTCCGGTTGGGGTGTGGCGGAGATGGTTCTAACCGCCCTTAACGAGAAGATTTCAGAGCTCTATCCTGATGAAGATTTTCCACAGGCTCTTGTGTTTGTTGCAGGGGTTTGAAGAACATGTTTTTTGCTAGAAAGATGTACAGGACCAGTCAGCCATGACATGTGTACGTTGGTTGTGGCCCTGCCCAGTTCAAGATGTCCTGGATGTGCGAGTCCGAGAAGTTCAAGGCTGATCACTTGAGGACTGCCTTCCCGAACACGGAGGCCATCTTCAGCGACATGAAGGACCTTGGTCGTGGAAAGGCCCATGATCACCTTACTGGAAAGATTTTGCATGTTGCACCAGTTTCTTTATCTTGTTGCAGCAACTTTTCATTAAACTGCCGCCATCAAGCTGACAGCAAACAATTTTTACCCAAGATGTTTCTCCACCCAGTGCGCGCAACTACTTTGATTTGACAGATCTGCGCGCTCAGGTTTCAGGTGCTGTGGTGGGATACCCCTGTCGTTCGATCAGCAGCCAAAACAACAATCCGCAGCCTTTTAAAGACAAGCAGTCTTCAACAGGTGGAGGCTTTCATGCATTCATCAAGTTTGTTGACAGCCAGCCCACCTTGGAATGGGCACTGTTGGAAAACGTTAGGGGCATGGTGCAAAAGAGGGGTCGTTTCCAAGATGAGAAGCCCCTGGACGTGCAGAACCAGGCCATGAAGAAGCGAGGCTTTATTCCTTGCTTGGCCATGTTGCTGAATAGTAGTAGTTTCGGGTTGGCGCAGTCTCGAACAAGATGCTATGTAGTCTATGTGCGGGCCACGTGCTTGAGGCCGCTGGTCTCAATGTCATGGTTTATGAATGGACCGTTCGTTCGCTCATTGTTTGATGCTGGGGTGCTGGCAGCGTCAGTTGTGTGTTATTTGAGGTCTCACCAGCCGTGCGAGGACTTTGTGAACCAGTTGCGGCTTCCTCCACTAGGCCTGAAGCATTTCTTGGATGCATCGCCTGTTCAGCAGAATGTTAACACAAAGAAGAAGTCTGCCACGCATCATGGACAGAAGTGGAGGGAAGAGTACATGGGTGTTTGCGAACGTCTTGGAAATGAGTCTTGATACAACTAGAGCACTTGATACTTTTAAAGCAAACTCATCAAAAGATCACGATCATGACTGCTGACACCTTTTAAAATAGTCAGTAGCGCGTACCTAATTTTTATCCAAGGAGCAAATGGCGTACCATATGGGCAAGGTGAGTGTGCTGACCAAAGACCTCATTCCCCTCACAGAGAGGGAATTGGCTGTCCTTGCTGCGTCGGTGTGTGAGATGGCTGCCTGCAGCCTGAATCCTTACGATGAGGCGTTCATCATCCAAGTGGCGCCTGGACGTTCATTTACAAGACAATTGTTTATCTACAAGGCATTCGTATCAGAAACATGTTCTTCCTTGCCTTCCACTAGCATGGGTTCCGTGCTGTGCGATGTGTCATTGTGCCAGGATCAATCATTTGGCCGCCAGACGTGGCATCGGAGGGACCCTCGCATACTGCCGTGCCTGCTCCCTTCGGGGAAGTATATTGTTACCAAGAGATGGTCTTTGTTGACTGCCAAGGATTGGTGCTTACATGCGATCATTGCAAGTCAGTCATGTTTCAAAAAGCAAAAAATTGCATTTTACATTTGGGTTTAACTGCGCTTCGCAAGTTTCACATTTCCTTGCTCCACAGCCCGCATTTGTGCAGGAGAAGGCAAAATTCCAAGGCATTGGCAGCCGCGAGTACTTCAGGTACGGCATGCACCTTTTGACGGAAAACCAATTGGGTGACCTCGCAGGAAACTCGTTCTTCGCTTGCAAAGCATTAATGCAGGTTGGAATCACGGCCTTTTTTGACTTGTGCTAGGCGTGTGGTAGATTTAAGAAGTTGTGTTTCTCCTGAGATTTGCTGATTTGAGATGTTTGAGGTTTTCAGCGCCAGTCTTCCTGGCCACCTTCATGACGGCTATCGCGGTTTGGAGCCCATAGGACACAGTGTGTAGTTAGAACTCTTGGAATCTTCCCAAGGAGTTTTGCAATCTTGGAGCGTTTTGCACTCTTCAACAAAATTCATTGAAACCTGTCAACCTCCGGCGGGCGTGCCAAAAATTCAACTGGCTGGCAGGGTTCTGGTACTGTGCTGCGCCTCAAGTTCAGAGTGTAGTAAAGTAGCTGGTGAGCTGGTGTTGTGAGTTGTGACATTTACCGCTGGTCAGCCTTTTTCAATCAAGGGCTTGGAGATCGGCCATTGCTGGGGGCCATCATGCCGCCTGCTAGGAAGAAAGCAAGGGTAGGGGCAAGCGCTGCTGTTCCCCAGGCGACAAACATGAACACGGTGGACTCCTTCCAGAAAGAACTTGCAGCATGCGTCGAGTTGATGCGACTATGAACGAATACTTCCCATTTTTTACAGGTCAAGGTTAGAACTTCTTGTTGTTTGGGCTCCGCTTTGGAAGCGTTAGGTACGAGAACTTCATCCGAAACAGAAACTCACATTTCAGGCGTTTGAGAAATTTAGATAACTAAAGGGAGCATGCGGCGTCGCTTCCCAGGTACAGCTTGCGACACGGAGCAGATCAGAAGCAAGGCTTTGACGACTTTGCAGGCCCTCCCACAGACCCTGCAGTCATGGCTCGCTTGCCACAACCTGATGAGTCAGGCTGCTATCCATTTCCTTTCCTTCGAGGTGGAACCTTTATGGACATTGCGCAATCAGCTGCCCGCAGCGCCTGGTTGTTGGAAGAGAGCGCAGCCTTCTGCCACGCCGCAGGGTTCATTGAATCAAATGACCCGAATGCGACTATATTTCTGCTTCAGACCCTAGGCATGTCACATTTAAACAAGTTTTAGGTCTAGCTTGTATTTGCCCAAGAGGTCCGCGGCATCGTCTGAAGTGCAATTTGTTTTTGTTGAATGTCTGTATGAAGATTTTTGAAGGCGTATAAATCGTGAACTCGTGTCGAGAGCTGACATGCCAGCCGCGTCCCAGGAATGGCCTCCGAAATTGGGCGTCCTATGGTCATCGAGCGTGCTGGCTTGGAGCTTTGAGGATGAATCCTTTTGGCGAGGGCGATCTACATCCATGGCAGAGGTGGTTGGCTATGCAAAAAGCATGTCGCTCACCCGTTTCAAGGAGGTGTGGTTTTCGTTTTTTCATGTTTCCAGCGATTGCGTGTAGATTCCGAATTAGACCAAGAACCAGGGCAAATTAATGAAGTGTAAGCAAAACAAAAGCGCCAAAAACGTTCAAAACGACAGCAATAAGCCTTCAATAATGCAAAAACTCAGAAAATTTGGGTGCGGCATGGACATTACTGTTACTAACTGGCAAGGTGTGACAAAAAAAGGGTTTGTGAGGCTAATGCCCCAAAAAAAATTTGTGGCGAGGAGGTCGGCGACCTCCTCTCCACAAATCTGGGGGCTTGGGGGAAGCTGGGCATATCGCCCATTCTGCAACTTCTGCATCATAATGTTTGTCGCCACAAACCAAATTCTTTTAAATCAGATTTCTGGAGAGGAGGTGAGCGACCTCCTCTCCAAAGCCATTACTAACCCTTATTACCACCCCCCCCCCCCCCCTGTTCACAGTGTATATGTAGACTAGTAGAGGTTGCCCCCTTAGTTACCCACACATAAAGCCAAGGAGAGGAGGTCGCTCACCTCCTCTCCTCAAGTGTGTGCTGGTTGAGAGCAGAGTGTGGGGAGAAAATGATGTCTCGGGATGTTGACTTGAAAAGTTATGGAGAGGAGGTCGCTGACCTCCTCGCCACAAATCCCTCTCATGCCAGGTTTCCTCGCCACAAAATTTTAGCAGATTGGATTTTCTCGCCGCAAACTGTTGACTGTGCTGGTTTTCTCGCCGTAAGGCCTTGACGCGCGTGAGCATTGAAAGTGAAAGGTTGCTTGCGGAGTCCTTTCTAGAACAGAAGGTTCACCTTGGTCGTTCTTGTTTGATCAGTAAATTTAAAGGTCGCCTCAAGTTCGCTTGAAAGTACACTGAGGGCCCACACCTGACAATTCCCCTACACCGCGAAATAGACATTTGATATCTCGTGTGGAAACTGTACAATTCAAGACTTAACTTAGAACATCTTGGGTGCGTCCTATAACACCTTCGGCGCCTTTTGAGATACCAAGAAAGGTCAAGAGACCACAAAAATAAATAGGGCCAACTGTAGTCTAGTTGGGCCTAATTATTTTTGTGGCCTCCTGGCCTCTCTCTGTAGTGGCACGCAACGCGGCAAGGATCGCAATAACCATTGAAATTTTTGAGTTCCTAATTTCTATTTAAAACAAAACTGTCAGGAATGAGAAAACAAGGGTGGATATTTTAGACATGTCTCGACACCTGGGTTGGATGATCACGGATGATGTCCTTCCTGGTTGAAATCTAAGCCTTACCAAGAGAGGTTGAAAAGACACAAGCGAACGGTCTGGAAACCCGCACCCTTATTGATTTGACCTTTCATTCATATGTCCTGAGCCTGTCAACCTCTCTCATCCTCTCTTGGTAAGTATAGTGGGAGCATTGTGGGCCACTTCTAAGTGGCTGATAATATTCACCGTTGATTGTGTTTGCCAGGGTGAAGTTGTAGTGGCCCGCTTCCCGGTGTGGCCGCCGGAAGACTTGAAGACTGAGCACGGCACCTCCCAATCGCTGGTGGGCAGGCTGCTTTTTGGAGACGGCAGTCAGCGCATGCTGGCGGCCATGTCCGTTTGGATATGCCTGCTGCTCATTTGGAGAAGTCATCCTGTGGAGAGCCTGAAAACTCCGATGGTCCAAGAGTTGATTCAGTCATTCCTTCAAGTGTCAACTCTGGTGAAGGCCAGCGAGGCCACCAGTTCCAACCTGGAGAACATGGTGACCAGAATCGCGAGCCAGAACCTGGCAGCTCGAGTGCAGCCAGTGTCAACTTTCCAAATGGCCGCCATTTTGCAGAGCTTTGTGGGTGAGTCGAGGGAGGTGGCTTCATTGGATATAGCGATTTCACTCTACAATGGGCACCCTTTGGTCCTCTCAAGTGACCGGACAGAAAGCGGGACCGGGAGCGTGAGCCTGGACTCCCGCAAAAAAGCAGGGAGTCCGCAGCTGGCTGGAGCGGTGCACGCCAGAAGCTTTCGAGGTTGTGCAGCAATCCTGCCACGATGTGCCATTCGGTTTGGGTGCGTTTGGCGAAGTTTTTTCCTTCAACAGTCTGTGCTTTATGGGCTCTAGGGCGCACCTCGAAGCCAACCCTAGCGCAAACGACGTGGATGCACCCATGGTTGGCGAATCTTTTGTGGAGGTTCCTTGCCAAGGTTTTGTCACAGGTCAGATTTTAAACATGTTGTCGCAATCAACATGCCCAATTCTGTTTCTTCGAAGTTCTTGGAAACTGACATTGAATTGCTGATTGCAGGTTGACTGGCAACTTCCGATGACTGGTCCAGCGCAGGAGCTCTTCTTCCGGAAAGTGTGGCGGCTCTTCAATCGCGCTACTGTCGGGATCGCCCTTGCCAACAAGAAGCGCTACAGGATGACTGGAGATGAGCTGACAGAGCAGCGCAACTTAGCCGTCCTTTTTGCCCAATTGTTTCCGCAGTGGAGCTCTGGCGTACAATCCAGTTTTGAGGCATGCTTTCGATTCTGTCTGGGGGCCAGTTTCAACATAGGTTGACCTTAAAGGTTAAAGTGTTTTTGTATTCGTTTGGATGAAATTTCGATAATGAGTTCCAAGGAAGGCGCGGATGACAGAGAGCGATGCTGATGCCATGGTCCAGAGATTCTTGGATGGCTTCCACGATGATTTTTCGCATTTCCTCAAGAGCCGCCCTCAGCGAATTGCTTTCTCAATGCTGCAAAGCCAGAAAGCGAAGGCGCACCAAGAGGAACGCGAAGCTCGGTTTTGCTTGAGAGATGATGGTTGCCTTGTGTGTAACACTGTCGCAAGCAAACACCCGCCAAAGTATTGTTACTGTTGTGTTCTGTTGCTTCTTCCGCGCAAAGCGATCCAAGGAAAAGCAGAACTTGATCCATTCCGAAGTCAGTGCCCAGAAAGAGGCAGTGGTGTCTGCGCAGTGGAAATACTTTGTGGCTGCGCTGGCCAAGGACCAAGCCACTTTGACCAAGGTACAGCAGGTCCCACTTCATGTCAAGGCCAAGTTGCACAGCAAGGCCGTGCTGCATCGAGGGCGACAAGCTGATGCTGGCACGAAGGCTACTCAAGGATATTCAGATTTTGGGTTGCGGATTATGCAACGCTTTTCTTTTGCCTTTTTTGGTGTGTGTGTTTGGGTTCTTGATGACTGACTGTTATGGGTTGTAGAGAAGATTCAGTCTTGCAAGTGGGTTTGTGACGGGCTCAACTTTTTGGCCGAGGATGCCTATGTGAGGGTGACATCAGTGAGCAAGATGGATTTGCTCATGTCAGAGGTTTCCAGGATGAAGCAAGCTGTGGTCCCTTGGCCAATGGCAGGGTTGACGTGTACTTTGGTGGGGAAGTTGTTGTTTTTGTATGTTGTTGTTCACCGCTTCAATATTTTTAACGATGGCCAATCTGACCTATAGGCTGCTGATGCGAATTGCGCCCAAGAGCATGTGGCCATTTTGGGATGGGCTGATTGGAATTGTCCATGGACGCGGACACGCGAGAACTCTGCGATGCTTTGCAGAGGAATCAGCCTCCTGAACGAAAGCAACCCGAAGAATTCAGTCGTTGTCCTTGTGCTTCCAGACCTGGCCAAAGACTCCTCACCAAGAGGACTCTGGGACGAGGAGCGACAGATCTTCGAGGAACTGTATTCCTTGGGGCAGGTCTGTGAACACAGGTGGATTGAATGCTTTGCGCGCGAATCACGCAAGGCGGAAGTCAAGTCGAACTCCCGGAG